CCCCCTCTTCTGCCCGGCACCGCTCCTCGCCTCGCCGTTCCACACGCCGCCGCTCCTCGACTCGTCCTTCCACACGCCGCCTCTCTTCTGTTCTCTACCAGCTTCTGCCAAGGAAGGAAAATGTCATCAGGCCTGGGAAGCGCCAACCCTTCTCCCTGAAGGAAACGTGGAACCCTAGCCCTGGAGGGACATCCTCAAGTGACCACCAGCCCACCCGCACGGCCTCCGCAATACCCTCCCCTAATCTCAGCTTGACTCACCGGGGAGACGCGCCGCAGACTTCTGGCCGGTGCTAGAGGCGGGCTCGCAGGCGGGCACCCTGGGCAAATCGGCTGGGCATGCGAAGCAACGGCCAAAGAGGCTGTGCACCCCTGCTTACAGGGGGCCCGAGCCGTGGCCTGCTCTGTAAAGCGCCCAGGACTCATGGCCAGGCCCCGACTTACAGGGTGGCCCTGGTCCCCAAGGCCCTCGGAGGCTCCTTGTCTCCGACAGAGGGGCACGCTGACCTGCACCCCACTAGCAGGGGGGTCACCCCACAGGCTGCCAGTTGAGGGAACACAAAGGCTCCCAGACCCAGAACCTGATTACAGGCAGGGCGACACCCAGGGAGCCAGAGAGCTCTGATTCCCCCCGCACCAACAGGAACGAGACTCAACAGCCAGGTAGTGGAGCTTCACGGCCAAAGGCCGGGGGACCAGCAGATCCAGGCCGCAGCCTCTGAAAGACCGGGGCCGGAGATTCCCAACAAGCACAAAGGAGCCCAAAGCTCTGACCTGCGCCCGAGTTACGGGCGGGCCTCCTGGCTGCACCACACCACCAACATCATCATCATCATCATCACCACGTACTTCTTCAGGAGCCCAGCGCAAAACCTCGACCCCAACCAGGGGGAGGTCAGCCCAGCCAAAGGTGGGCCTGTGCCCTCCAGCAGAGCACAGCACTTCCTCAACCTGCACCCTCTAAAGGGTGAGGGAGGGCTCGTTCCCGTGGGCTGGCTAAAACAGCGTCCCAAGCCCTGCTTAAAGCAAGCTGGGGATGCTCCAGGGGACAGAGGGCTCCACACATTACTGTGGCTGTGCGTGGAAGCCGGAGAGCTTCAACACGCCAAGGGACAAATGCTGCGACACGCCCTGACAACAGGGGGTCACGCTGGCACGTCACCAGCAGGACAGGCAGCCACGCAGGCAGAGACCCACGTCCTGACTACAGGCAGGTCGCATTGCTGCACCACGACTAAGTGGCTTGGCGCCGTCCTTGGAAAGAAGGGGCAAGTCCAGACCGTCCCTCCGCTCATGGACTCAGAGGGGGCCCCCCTGTTACTGCACAGAGCCCTGCTCTCCCACCTGGGAGGTTTAAGCTAAACTGCAGCGATTTTAACAGGGGCCTAAAGGACAAGCTCACTCACTCACACACTCACTGACATTGACAAGGACAAACACAAAACAGGACGTCCCAAGAAAGGAGACGGTCTCTGTGCAGCCAATGTCTGAGGAGCCACCCTACTCACGAGCAAGAGAGGAGAGCCCCAGACCATGCCCGGGGATGCGTGGAAGCCGGAGAGCTTCAACACGCCAAGGGACAAATGCTGCGACACGCCCTGACAACAGGGGGTCACGCTGGGGAGGCCACCAGCAGGCAGAAGGCTGCTGGGGCAGAGGAGTTGGGCAGGGAAATGGCCCCCCCCTGCTTACAGGGTGGCCTGGGGGTACAAGAGAGCTCCATTTCTCCCCTCGGGTGCGGAGACGCTGGCTCTCACCCTCCTTACAGGGTTGCCATGCTCTCCGGGCAGCCAAAGGAGCAAGACGGCCAAAGGCCAAAACCAACAGTAGCAAAGACCTGAGCCCTGGTTACAGGGAGGTCGCCCAGCACAACAAGTTCCTCAGGGCAACCCAAAGGTGCCCGTTATGCTCTTACATGACCTCGCCCTGTGCACACAGGGAGGGTCCCTTTGCCCAGGGCGCCTTTATCGTGCCCTCTTCTGCCCGGCACCGCTCCTCGCCTCGCCGTTCCACACGCCGCCGCTCCTCGACTCGTCCTTCCACACGCCGCCTCTCTTCTGTTCTCTACCAGCTTCTGCCAAGGAAGGAAAATGTCATCAGGCCTGGGAAGCGCCAACCCTTCTCCCTGAAGGAAACGTGGAACCCTAGCCCTGGAGGGACATCCTCAAGTGACCACCAGCCCACCCGCACGGCCTCCGCAATACCCTCCCCTAATCTCAGCTTGACTCACCGGGGAGACGCGCCGCAGACTTCTGGCCGGTGCTAGAGGCGGGCTCGCAGGCGGGCACCCTGGGCAAATCGGCTGGGCATGCGAAGCAACGGCCAAAGAGGCTGTGCACCCCTGCTTACAGGGGGCCCGAGCCGTGGCCTGCTCTGTAAAGCGCCCAGGACTCATGGCCAGGCCCTGACTTACAGGGTGGCCCTGGTCCCCAAGGCCCTCGGAGGCTCCTTGTCTCCGACAGAGGGGCACGCTGACCTGCACCCCACTAGCAGGGGGGTCACCCCACAGGCTGCCAGTTGAGGGAACACAAAGGCTCCCAGACCCAGAACCTGATTACAGGCAGGGCGACACCCAGGGAGCCAGAGAGCTCTGATTCCCCCCGCACCAACAGGAACGAGACTCAACAGCCAGGTAGTGGAGCTTCACGGCCAAAGGCCGGGGGACCAGCAGATCCAGGCCGCAGCCTCTGAAAGACCGGGGCCGGAGATTCCCAACAAGCACAAAGGAGCCCAAAGCTCTGACCTGCACCCGAGTTACGGGCGGGCCTCCTGGCTGCACCACACCACCAACATCATCATCATCATCATCATCATCATCATCATCATCATCACCACGTACTTCTTCAGGAGCCCAGCGCAAAACCTCGACCCCAACCAGGGGGAGGTCAGCCCAGCCAAAGGTGGGCCTGTGCCTGCCCAGCAGAGCACAGCACTTCCTCAACCTGCACCCTCTAAAGGGTGAGGGAGAGCTAGGTTCCGTGGGCTGGCTAAAACAGCGTCCCAAGCCCTGCTTAAAGTAAGCTGTGGCAATCTGCAGGGGACGAGGGCTCCACACATTTCTGTGGCTGTGCCCGTGGGAGCCGGAGAGCTTCAACACGCCAAGGGACAAATGCTGCGACACGCCCTGACAACAGGGGGTCACGCTGGCACGTCACCAGCAGGACAGGCAGCCACGCAGGCAGAGACCCACGTCCTGACTACAGGCAGGTCGCATTGCTGCACCACGACTAAGTGGCTTGGCGCCGTCCTTGGAAAGAAGGGGCAAGTCCAGACCGTCCCTCCGCTCATGGACTCAGAGGGGGCCCCCCTGTTAC